ATCTCACTATCGATCTCACTATCGGTTTGACCATCGAACTCACTATCGCGCTCACAAGCGGTCTCACGATCGACCTCACAACAGATCTCACGATCGAGGTCCCAATCGATCTCATCATGGATCTGACAATCGAACTCACTATCGACCTCAAATTCGACTCCACTATCCATCTCATAACAGTTATCACTATCGGTTTCACTCTCGATCTCACAATCAATATCACCATCGATCCCACTATGGGTCATACAATCAATATCACAATCGATCTCACGATCGATCTCGGTATCGATCTCATGTCGGCACACTGTAGATCTCACGAGCGATCGAACTCCCGATCTCACAACAGATCTCACTATCGATCTCACAACATATCTCGCTATCGATCTCACATCAGATCTCACAATCGATATCATAATCGATCTCACTATCGACCTCGCATCTGATCTCACTATCGATATCACTATCGATTTGACAATCGACCTCGATCTCGATCTCACCAGCGATCTCACGATCGATCTCACAACAGATCTCATTATCGATCTCCCAATCGATCTCACCATCGATCTGACAATCGAACTCACTATCGACTTCACATTCGGACTCACGATCCATCTCACAACAATTCTCATGATCGGTTTCACTACCGATCTTACAATCGATCTAACAATCGATCTCACTATCGGTCTCAGAATCGATCTCACAATCGATCCCACGATCGATCTCAGTATCGATCTCACTCTCGATCATACTACAGATCTCATGAGCGATCTCACCGTCGATCTCGCAACAGATCTCGCTATCTATCTCACAACAGATCTCACGATCGATATTTCAACTGATCTCACTGTCGATCTCACAACAGATCTCACAGTCGATCTCACTATCGACTATCGATCTCACTTTCGATCTCACCGCCGCGCCACCGACGGAGCACCCCGCGCCACCGACTGGACACCCAACGCCACCGACGGGACCCCGCCGCGCCACCGACGGAACACCGACGGGACACCGCCGCGCCACCGACGGGACACCCGGGCCATCGCGCGCCGAGGGGGGGGGGGCGGACAACCGGCTCCACAGCTCCTAGCCACGGCATCATTCCTCTAGCGCTCCCGCGCAGCTTCGCCTCGCCCGCACGCACGACACGAGCACGAAACTGGAACCGATTTCCCGGTGGGGGGCTCTCCGTTCCACTGCGATTTCACCCCCTCACCTCCGACTCCGTGGCATGTTTACCAGCGTCCGGCCACTATTTAGGGCGGAGGCGGGGCAGGCGGGGATCAGGGGAGGAGCGAGGATGAGGGACGAGGGGGCGGGCAAACGTAGGGCTAATATTTGTCGTTGTTATTCCGTTTCTTCCTCTTCTACATTTCCCTCATCATCCGTCGCGGTGTCCTTGTGCAGCCACCTCGGCGCTGTGTCTGGGCCACAGAGGGCCCATATTGGGATCCTCCTGAGCCCTCTGATGGCCTCTTGGGGCCATCCAGGGGCTATCTTGGGCCCTCTTGGGCTCTCGTGGAGCCATCGCCCTCGAATTAGCGGACATCTCGGGACGCTTGTGGGCCATGGTGGGGCCATCTGCTCACATTGGGGCCCTCTGGGCCGCAGTGGGCTTCCCTGCAGAAGTCCCTGCGTCATCCCTTTCCTGTTTCGGCGTGCATCTGCGAAGCAATCCGAAAAGACGCGCACGCCGTCGCTCTTGCACTCACCTGCATGGGACGCGTGCGGCGATACCCAAGCTGTGCAGCGCGCGCACGTAGCTTGACTTGCCGCGCTGTCACACAAAGGATAATGCCCGTGGAACCCGAGGGAATGGGGCGGAGCCAACAGGAAAGGAAAACAAATGATGCCCAGTAGCCTGCGTATGCACAGCCTGCCTCCCCGTGATATGCCTGGTCCTTGCTACATCGCCTGGGCCGCCCTGGCGCGGCCCACTCTCGAGCTCACTCTACGGGGGCCTCCTCCCCCTGCACCCCTTGTGGAAGTTTGTCGCAGCAGTACTGATCTCTTTGGGGGACCACGACAGCTCCAGGCGTGCAGGCAGTGGGGTACCCGGGTCGCAGTCGTAGACGTTGCTGTCCGGGGCGGGAGGCAAGCCCGAGGGCGGCAGGCCCGAGGGGGGCGGCAGCTCCGAGGGGCACCCCCTTTGGGCCGTCTTGCAGCAGTACAGCTTCTTCTCACCAGACCAGCCGCGCACCCACTGCAGCGGGTCGAGGTCGTTGTACCCCGCGTTGCAATCGATGGGGCAGGGCGACGTGGACGTGGTCGGGCACCCCTTGTTCTCCATGAGGCAGCACTGCACCTTCTTCGCCTCGTCCCAGGACTCCGGGGCACCTTCGCCGCAGTTGATCTTTTTCTCGGTGGTCGTGGGCGGCGGCGGAGGGGGCGGGGGCGGAGGCGGCGGCGGGGGTGGCGGGGGCGGCGGAGGCGGCGGGGGAGGCGCCTGGGTCGTCGTCTTCTTGGTCGTGGTGGCTGGCGTGGTGGTCGTGTCGGGTGGCGCCGTGGTTGTCGGAATAAACGGCGTGGTGGTCGTCGTCGTGGTCGTGGTGGAACCTGGGGCGAGCGAGTACAGGAGCAGCGGGAGCAGCAGCAGGGACAGCAGCCCTGGGATGAGGAGGAGCAGGCAGCAGTTGGGGCCGCGGCCGGGAATGCGCAGCACCCCGAACTCGCCCGCGCCCGCCCCCACGTACCTGTCGTCGTCTCCTGCGCGTAGTCGCCCCGGGGCCCACGTAAGCTCAGGATCGTGCCACCTCCTGCGCCCGTGCCGCAGCCGCTGCCGCCACCCACGCCGCTGCCACAGCCCGTCGCCTCGGCACACCCCGCGCCGCAGGCGGGGCCGCAGCCCATGGCGGCGCTCGCCCCGGCGCAGCAGGCGGTTCCACAGTCCGCACCGCCGCCGTACGCGCCCGCGCCATGCAGGCCGCCGGCATAGCCTGCCCCATACCCAGCCCCGGCGCCGTAGCCCGCGCCGTAGCCCATTCCCGAGCTGCCCCAGGCGCCCCCCGAGCGGTAGTACGCCATGGCAGCTAGAATGCAGCCTGAAAGAGGCTGGACGATGAGAAGTAAAAAAGGTGTGCCAAAGAGGCTTGAGCCAAAATGGTTACGGAGAAGCTCCTGCGCCATCTTGCGACCCGAATAGGGACCTCCTGGGCGCTGGTTGGCTCCCCGAGGCACTCCAGGAACCACACCTATACGACCACCCTTCGGGTGATACGGAGGTTCGGGGGGGAGGGGGAACCAACGCCTCATACAATCGATCTCACAATCGATCGAACTCCCGATCTCACAACAGATCCCACTATCGATCTCACAACAGATCCCACTAACGATCTCGAAATCGATCTCACTATCGATATCACAACTGATCTCACTATCGATCTCACTCGGTTTGACCATCGAACTCACTATCGCGCTCACAAGCGGTCTCACGATCGACCTCACAACAGATCTCACTATCGAGGTCCCAATCGATCTCATCATGGATCTGACAATCGAACTCACTATCGACCTCAAATTCGACTCCACTATCCATCTCACAACAGTTATCACTATCGGTTTCACTCTCGATCTCACAATCAATATCACCATCGATCCCACTATGGGTCATACAATCAATACCACAATCGATCTCACGATCGATCTCGGTATCGATCTCACTGTCGGTCACACTGTAGATCTCACGAGCGATCGAACTCCCGATCTCACAACAGATCTCACTATCGATCTCACAACATATCTCGCTATCGATCTCACATCAGATCTCACAATCGATATCATAATCGATCTCACTATCGACCTCGCATCTGATCTCACTATCGATATCACTATCGATTTGACAATCGACCTCGATCTCGATCTCACCAGCGATCTCACGATCGATCTCACAACAGATCTCATTATCGATCTCCCAATCGATCTCACCATCGATCTGACAATCGAACTCACTATCGACTTCACATTCGGACTCACGATCCATCTCACAACAATTCTCATGATCGGTTTCACTACCGATCTTACAATCGATCTCACAATCGATCTCACTATCGGTCTCAGAATCGATCTCGCAATCGATCCCACGATCGATCTCAGTCTCGATCTCACTCTCGATCATACTACAGATCTCATGAGCGATCTCACCGTCGATCTCACAACAGATCTCGCTATCTATCTTACAACAGATCTCACGATCGATATTTCAACTGATCTCACTGTCGATCTCACAACAGATCTCACAGTCGATCTCACTATCGACTATCGATCTCACTTTCGATCTCACCGCCGCGCCGCCGACGGAGCACCCCGCGCCACCGACTGGACACCCAACGCCACCGACGGGACCCCGCCGCGCCACCGACGGAACACCGACGGGACACCGCCGCGCCACCGACAGGCACCCCTGGCCACCGCGCGCCGAAAGGGGGGGGGGGACGGAAGGCATCATTCCTCTCGCGCTCCCACGCAGCTTCGCCTCGCCCGCACGCACGACACGAACACGAAACCGGAACCGATTTCCCGGTGGGGGGCTCTCCGTTCCACTGCCATCTCACCCCCTCACCTCCGACTCAACGGCATGTTTACCAGCGTCCGGTTACAATATTTAGGGCGGAGGCGGGGCAGGCGGAGGTCAGGGGAAGAGCGAGCAGGGATGAGTGACCAGTGAGGGGGCGGGCAGGCGCATGGCTAACCGTTGTTGTTATTCCGTTTCTTCCTCTTCTACATTTCCCTAATCATCCGTCGCGGTGTCCTTGTGCAGCCACCTCGGCGCTGTGTCTGGGCCACAGAGGGCCCATATTGGGATCCTCCTGAGCCCTCTGATGGCCTCTTGGGGCCATCCAGGGGCTATCTTGGGCCCTCTTGGGCTCTCGTGGAGCCATCAGCCCTCGAATTAGGGACATCTCGGGACGCTTGTGGGCCATGGTGGGGCCATCTTGCTCCACATTGGGGCCCTCTTGGGCCGCCTTGGGCTTCCTGCAGAAGCTCCTGCGTCATCTTTCTTGTTTCGGCGTGCATCGCGAAGATCCGAAAGACGCGCACGCCGTTCCCTCTTGCACGCACCTGCTGGACCGCGTGCGGCGATACCCAAGCTGTGCAGCGCGCGCACGTAGCTTTGCCTTGCCGCGCTGTCACACAAAGATACTGCCCGTGGAACCCGAGGGAATGGGGCGGAGCCAACAGGAAAGGAAACCAAACTGATGCCCGTAAGCCTGCGTACTGCACAGCCTGCTCCCCGTGATATGCCTGTTCCTTGCTACATCGCCTGGCCGCCCTGGCGCGGCCCACTCTCGAAGCTCACTCTACTCAGGCTCCTCGCCCTTGCACCCCTTGTGGAAGTTGTCGCAGCAGTACTTGATCTTCTTGGGGGACCACGACAGCTCCAGGCAGTGCATGCAGTGGTGGTACCCGGCGTCGCAGTCGTAGACGTTGCTGTCCGGGGCGGGAGGCAAGCCCGAGGGCGGCAGGCCCGAGGGGGGCGGCAGCTCCGAGGGGCACCCCCTTTGGGCCGTCTTGCAGCAGTACAGCTTCTTCTCACCAGACCAGCCGCGCACCCACTGCAGCGGGTCGAGGTCGTTGTATCCCGCGTTGCAATCGATGGGGCAGGGCGACGTGGACGTGGTCGGGCACCCCTTGTTCTCCATGAGGCAGCACTGCACCTTCTTCGCCTCGTCCCACGACTCCGGGGCACCTTCGCCGCAGTTGATCTTTTTCTCGGTGGTCGTGGGCGGCGGCGGAGGGGGCGGGGGCGGAGGCGGCGGCGGGGGTGGCGGGGGCGGCGGAGGCGGCGGGGGAGGCGCCTGGGTCGTCGTCTTCTTGGTCGTGGTGGCTGGCGTGGTGGTCGTGTCGGGTGGCGCCGTGGTTGTCGGAATAAACGGCGTGGTGGTCGTCGTCGTGGTCGTGGTGCTCCCAGGGGCGAGCGAGTACAGGAGCAGCGGGAGCAGCAGCAGGGACAGCAGCCCTGGGATGAGGAGGAGCAGGCAGCAGTTGGGGCCGCGGCCGGGAATGCGCAGCACCCCGAACTCGCCCGCGCCCGCCCCCACGTACCTGTACGTCGTCTCCTGCGCGTAGTCGCCCCCGGGGCCCACGTAGCTCAGGATCGTGCCACCTCCTGCGCCCGTGCCGCAGCCGCTGCCGCCACCCACGCCGCTGCCACAGCCCGTCGCCTCGGCACACCCCGCGCCGCAGGCGGGGCCGCAGCCCATGGCGGCGCTCGCCCCAGCGCAGCAGGCAGTTCCACAGTCCGCACCGCCGCCGTACGCGCCCGCGCCATGCAGGCCGCCGGCATAGCCTGCCCCATACCCAGCCCCGGCGCCGTAGCCCGCGCCGTAGCCCATTCCCGAGCTGCCCCAGGCGCCCCCCGAGCGGTAGTACGCCATGGCAGCTAGAATGCAGCCTGAAAGAGGCCGGACGATGAGAAGTAAAAAAGGTGTGCCAGAGAGGCTTGAGCCAAAATGGTTACGGAGAAGCTCCTGCGCCATCTTGCGACCCGAATAGGGCCCTCCTGGGCGCTGGTTGGCTCCCCGAGGCACTCCAGGAACAATACTCAGTGGCATGTTTACCAGCGTGGACCCCAAGCAGAAAGTTGTTTCCCTGTTGTGAGCTATGTCGTGCAAGCTGTGCGGTGCAAACTATGTGGTGCAAGCTATAAGGTGCAAGCCATGTGGTGCAAGCTGAGCGGTATAAGTTGTGTGGTGCAAGCTATGTGGTACAAGCTGTGTGGTGCAAGCTATGTGGTGCAAGCTTCGATGCGTTGCAAGCTATGTGATGTCCGCCGGCCCCCTTGTGGGGCCACCAGGCTGTAGGACCAGGGTGTGCTGTTCCTTGCACCAGTTCCAGTTTCCAGTTTCCACTGTTCTTGTTTTGCGTCTTGATTCTGAATATTCCTTGTTGTAGATCGCGCGAGGGGGGGGGGAGTCGCAAACCGCCATTTTTACCACGCCCAGATCGCGTGCTCAGAATTTCTGGGGGGGCGTGGGACACGAAATACATGAAATTCGCGCCCCCGAAGCCATAAACCCTCGTAAGTGACGCAATAATCGCGTGTCCGAAGCCATAAACCGTCCCCGAGGCCACAAACGGTAGCAATTCAAACAAAATTCGCGTCCCAGAAACCATAAACCCTCGTAAATTACGCCACAGTCGCGTCTCCGAAGCCATAAACCTGCGTAAATGATGCAATATTTGCGACCCCGAAACCATAAATCCTCGTAAATGATGTAATCGCGTGTCCGAAGCCATAAACCCTCGCAAAGTACGCAATATTCGCTTCTCCGAAGCCATAATCCTGCGTAAATTACGCTATGTTTGCGACCCCGAAGCCATACACCCCCGTGTAAATTACACGCTGCTCGCGTATCCGAAGCCATAAACCCTCGAAATACAGCACCGAATTCAACAATATCATCGGAATCTCAATTTGTCTTGCCGATTACTCATCGTCTTCGCGTGAAGTCCCGACGCTGCTTCACGGCGGCGCCAAGGCCTCATGATTTCGCTCTTGCATTGCCCATTATCCGAGAGAGGGGGCTGGCGGCAGAGGGCGAAGCCCTTACGGATAAGCTATGTGGCACAATATCACCCGATCCTGCATGTGAGTTTACAAGAACTACAGCCTGAGCTTCAGCTCTGCTGGGGTGGGTGTCGGGGCGGCCCTGCCGGGGAAAAGGGTGGTCTACCATTTCTGGGGCCGCTCCCGCGCCGCAGAAGGAAGGGTGTGGGGCGGCTTGGCCCGGGAAAGGGGGAAGGGGAGAGGGGCGGCGACGCCAGCAAGGCCGCCAAGACGGCCCAAGAGAGCTCCTACACGCCCAAGATGGCCCCAAGACTGACCAAGAGGCCCCCAAGTGGCCTCAAGAGCGCTCCAAGAGGACCCCCAAGAGGGCCCCAAAAGGCACAACTCATTGACTTCCCTAAGATGTTTCTTTCTCGCCTTTTCGAGCTTCCGACGCTCCAAGACTGCCCAAGAGGCCTTCAAGATCGCCCCAAGACAACCCAAGAGGCCCCCACGAGGGCTCTAAGATGGCCCAGGAGGGCCCAGAAACGGCCCAAGAAGCGCCCAAGATGGCCTATGAGGACCCCAGGACGGCCCAAAGGGGGGGAACATGAACCGACGATTCGAGCCTTGAGCCTCAAGAGGCCCCCAGGAAGCTCCAAGAAGCCCCCGAGAGGCCCCAACGGGCTCCCAAAAGGCCCCCAAGATGCCCTCAGAGGACCCCAAGAGACCCAAAAGGGGCTCCCAAACCGCCCACAAGAGGCTTCACAACTCCTCCAAGAGGCCCCGAGAAGCTTCCCACGAGATCCCAACAAACCTCCCAATGGCCTCGGGTGGCGGGATGGGCCGAAGGCTACCAGATCCGCCACTCCCTGTTCATTTACCACAGGGGTGTCTGGCGTGCTGCACTTCAGGTGGTTTTTGATTCTTGGCGAAATTCCCCCTTGTGCTTCGGCTCATTGCGCCAGCCACCCAGAAAGCCGCCGAAAATTCATCTCTCATGGGTCGAATCGCCTCCAAGACGGCCCAGATGGTTCAAGATGGCCTCCAAGATGCCTCCAACACGCCTCCATGACGGCCAAGCTGGCCCCAAAATGGCCCCAAGAGGGCCCGAAACATGTCCCAAGACGGCCCAAGATGCACCCAACACGGCCTAAGATGGCCTCAAGATGGCATAAGACGCATCAAGAGGCCTCAAGAGGCCTCCAAGGAAGGACCGAAGATGCCAAAATCACTGATTTTTCGAAAATTGCTCAAGGACTTGAGCATGTGCTTGAAAATTGGCGTCCAACGGCCCAAACGGCCCAAGAGGCCCCCAAGATTGCCCCGAGATCGCCCAAGAGGCCTCCAAGATGGCCCCAAAAGGCTCTCAAAACGGCTCCCAAAAGGGCACAAAGACTGCCCAAGAGGCCCCCAAGACATCCAAGATGGGTTCCAAGACGACCCTGAAGCGCACCAAGAGGGCCCCAAGGCGGCTCAGAGAGGCTCCCAAGACGGCTTCCGATGGCGTCAGACGGGCCAGGAACGTGGCAACACAGCCAGATGGGCCCCCAAGAGGCCCCCAAGAGGCCCCCAAGAGGCCCCCAAAGGCCCCCAAGAGAACCCAAGAGGCCTGGCCCAAGCAGGCTCCCAAGAGGCCTCCAAGATGCTCCCAGGAAGCTCCCAAGAGGCCCCAAGAATGACCCAAGAAGCTCCCAAGAGGTCTCCTCATCCTTTTCCTCACTCCTCTTTCCTCCCATTTCTCATCCTCCACTTCCTCTCCCACGGGATCCCCGAAGGGCTCCCACAGTGGCTGGGGGAAACGTATGGTCCAATAGCGTGGACAAGCTTTGCCCAAGCGTCTGGCTACATCGACGTATCCTAGAAGGCAGGGGGCGGCGGCGATTCTCCGCAGGCGTCTTCGGTAAGAGAAGATAGAAATGACGGGAAAGAACAGTACATGATGAAACATGCACGCCACGACCCGCCAAACCACCCATCAGCGAGCCAACCCGTCCGGGAACGAAGCCCGTCAACAAGCTCGACAGACGGACACGAGGCAAACATTCCATTCAACACGTACTGCCTAAGGCGACTTCCTCCTTATCCTCCTTTTTCCCCTCCTCATCCTACTCCTCCTCCCTCCTTACCTTCCCTCCTTCCTCCTCGAGGTACAGCTCACAAACTATCAGATGGGCTAGGACGAATTCGCACGGAGCGTCCTGGAGCGTCCCCAATCGACGGCACAGGCCGGGGGCCTCTACAATCCGTGCTGCAACACATGTGCTGCACGTTGTGTGGTTTAAGTTACGCGGTGTAAGCTGCGTGGTGCAAGCCACGAGGTGCAAGCTAAGTTATGCGGTGTAAGCTATGCCGTAAAAGCTATGTGGTGCAGACTATGTGGCACGATCGATGCGTTGCAAGCCATGTGGTGTAAGCTCTGCGGTGAAAGCTATGTGGTGCAGGCGAAGTGCTAAAGCTATGTGGTGCAAGCTGTGTGCCGTAAATATGTGCTGCCAGCTGCGAGCTGCCTATGTAGTGTAAGCTCTGTACATTGGCTGGTATGCCCTACGAGGCGCACACGAATGGAAACGGACGGCAACCTGGCAAAACCTCGGCACACCTGTTCAGCACACGAAGCGCCCACGAGGCGCCCACGAGGCGCCCACAGGCGGCAACGTGCCGAAACCTCGGAGCACCCATCAAATTCTTTCTTAGGTAACACAGATCCGCCGACCCTTCGGCGTGTGTGAGACGCTGTCGTCGTCTTGGTCGCCGTCGTTGTCGTCGCAAGTCCCAAGAGAGAAGGGAACGAACAGGGAAAAGAAACGTCGTAGTTAAGTCGATTCCCTCCCCTGCTTCCCATCCCTGACGGGGGGGGATAGGGGGGGGATAGGGGGGGTAGGGGGAGGAGAGGGAGGTGTCAAGACACCCCCTAGATAGCAAGCCGTCTAGATCACTCCCACCCGCCCTCCCAACACATACGTAACACCCGAGCCTGAGCATGTTCAGAGGTCGTCTTTGGATGGACAGCTATTGGGAACCAAATCCGACCCCATGTGCGCGACGCTGGGGCGAGGTGCGCCACGCGTGGCAGGCGTGCCACGCGCGCCAGACACCCCTGGGGCCCACGAGTGCCAGGCACGCCTGGTGCGCCAGATGCGCCACGTGCCCCGCGTGCGCCAGGTGTGCCGCATTCTCCAGCCGCGCCAGAAGCGCCACGTTCGGGGCACGTGCAGAGTGTGTCAGGTGCTCCTGCGCACGTGACAGCACACATCGGGAAACATGTCGTCCCCCACCGTCCACGTCGAAAACCAACGCCCACCATCGTGTCTGTATGGTGGGCCTGCGCACAACAGGTCATATGCCACCATTTGACAGTGATCGCCAGGCGGCCGCGCATGTTCTGGATTTAGCCGCGAGGAGCATGTTGTATTGTTTTTGTCAGGGATTGTAGCCCTGCAGCAGGCAATATGCTGACACCCTCGCCGTCAGATTTTGCCCCAAAGTGTACGTTGTATTGTTTTTACAGGACTGGTTGGGGGGGCCGATTCGGGTTGGCCGCGCATGCTTTTCTAAAAAAAAAAAAAAAAGAAAAAAAAAAAAAAAAAAAAAAAAAAAAAAAAAAAAAAAAAAAAAAAAAAAAATAAAAAAAAAAAAAAAAAAAAAAAATAAAAAAAAAAAAAAAAAAAATGTGGAGGCAGAGTGATGTGTGTGTGTTGTGTGTGTGTGTGTGTTGTGTGTGTGTGTGGGGGGGGGGGGGGGGGGGGGGTGTGGATGGCGGGTGTTGTATGTTCTACTGGGCGGTTGGTGTTTGGGCGTTGTGCTTCAGGGGGACCCCTCGGGGCTGCTGAACGGCCGGGCGCGGGCGCGGGTGCGGGCGCGGGTGCGGGTGTGGGCGTGCGTGTGCGTGTGCGTGTGCGTGTCGACAGTCGAGGGGCAGCGTCCGAATCACAAGTGAAACGAACACAGCCCTGCCCAGAAGGCCACTGAGGCCTGGGGGCTCTCGAGGCTCTAGGAGGCAAGAGAGCAAGAGGCAGCCCCCAGACCGCCGACAGCAAGGCAAAAG